CCCATCCTAATCATTTGAAACTTCGTATGTCCAGAACTGGCCGATACGGCTCCTCCTTTGTCCGGAGGGTGTCTGAGATTGTGAAACAATCCACAAGAGGAAGCTTTTCCCAGTTTTACTAACCTTGTGCAGTTCAAAAATCGCCCCGGTTTCTACCTGAGCGGCTGCTTCGATATAAAAACTTCTTTGCCAGCAAATTATTGATATTTTGCATTGAAAATCTTAATATTCTAAGGATTTTCAAGAAGAAAAGGCACACCAATTTAATTTTAATTAAAAAAGCATTCTTTGACATATTTGCAACTCAACGTTGAATTGCTCAGTGAAATCGCTCACTCAAGCACTGCTCGATAGAAGTGGAATATCTGGCGAAGGAGGAGTCAACGTAGTCATGGATATTTGACAACTTGACAACATCTCAAGCATATTGGCGTTGCGAAAAATCCATAAAAACATTCATATTATTTACTATTAAAGAACTGTGCTTGAGCCAGCTATTTATTTGACTGTGCAATTCTATGTTGAAATGCAGTTATTCCAAAAAGGACTTGTCTAACCGAAATATTAGAATATATTCGTAACTCGAAAATAATTACTCTACAATAATTTCCAATGAAAAGTAACCGGATGTGACCAGCAGAAAAACATGCTAACAAATAGAATATAATGGTAATCTTCATTCTCAGGAACCGATTTTTTGTGTGTATATCATGAAAGCTACCTGAGCTATACAGACATACACATTTTATTTAGACATATTTGACTCCATATATTTTTTTTCGCCAGCTAAATATATGGTTGCTTCTGTAACATTTATTACGGTCTATCTTGTAGCGAGCGTTTTTGTCACTTTCAATTTAATTCAATATCGCTCTACAGCGACAAAGCTGTTATTTGCGAGCAGTCCTTGGAAAACATCAATTTTATATCGTTGATCGTGGATCGAACATGCCTTTTCAGTGAATCATCGCTAGACTTTCAAGCAATTCATGTATAACGAGGGAAAGGAGCGGCATCTTCCACGGTGCTCCAGGGCGGTATTCGTGATAAATCCGACATATCAGCGCCGTGTCAAACGGCTTCCAAAGGTGGTATCGTCGCTTATCATCATTTCCCATTCCGTGTCGACAGAAGTATTAGCCTCTTTATATCCCGCGGCTTCTTGAGCTTTCTCTGTGCTGAATCCGTTTCGCTCTTGGGGTTCTTTTATGGAGGCATTCTCGATGTGCTTAAGCTTCTCGATTTATTTTTGTCAATGCCTCAGCAAGAACGCCATCGCTAGGCTTAAAACTATGGAGATAGTGACACATTTTCATTGTTGCATTAGTATTTATAAGCCGTTTATAGTGGTATTAGACTACGAACATTTTCAGAAATTTATTCTTGAAACGAATGGATCTGGCCGGTATTCACGTTTTTCAAAGTCACCAAGCTAATATGACTCATCTGACACAAACACAAACCGAGGAAGGTAACAGGGTATTTGCTTAGAGACGTGGCGCAAGAGATGTCGAAAAAGCATCATGTCGTCATCTAAAAATGGATCGCATAAGAAGTGAAGCGATATCAGTGAATTGTCCGAAGTCATGGATGTAGTGGTGTCATGTGAGTTGTCTATAGATTTAAGTAAAAAGTCGGATCTGGCTAATGGAGCCTAGGTCCTAGTGCCTATAAAAAAATCAAACTTACTCGGGCGCTAGAGAAAGCAGAAGTAGTATGATACATAAATAGGCTCGAAAATTAGTTATCACACTCCAGCGATTTGTAAGCCAGGAAGCTATTGCCGAAACTGAAAAAAAAAACAAAAATCCGAATCTTTTTTTTTATACTCCAACTACCACGAAGGCCTAAGGCCTAAACACCCATTGGGTACCGTGGGGCTATAGGGGGATGCAAGGGAATCAAGTGCGAATCCCAATAATTCAGAAACGCCTACTCCTAAGGTGACGAAGATGCGAAGACTTCCATCAGTAATTGTCAGTTATGTTAAAATAATGCAATCAAATTAAGAACACTCTTGCCAGGGAAAAAGTCAAGTTTAGAACAGTCTGCTTCAATAACCAACAAATCAAATTAAATGTGGACACTCGCGATAAATACAGAGCCCTAACTCAAGTCATGGGGCGTAGTCTACTGAATGATCTGGAATTCTAAAACTTCATAATACTCTCTGCGGAGCCGAAACGTAAGACACCAGCGAGGCTCGTAATTCAAATGATAGTAGTGCTAGTAGTAGTAGCAGCAGTAGTAGTAGTGGCGGTAGTGGAGAGGCAAAGCCTGGCAACTAGGCCACCTTTGACTGTTTTTGCCGACCCCGCAGTCCCGTAGAGCTAATGTCAAATAATCTATGAAAGCAATTAGAGCAAACAAATTGATTCTGCATTACAGGAGGTGGTAAAGGTATGAACATACTCAAAAGTACTGCATACGTGACCCTGTTTAGGTTAAGTATGCGCCCTACCACAGACAGCACAAAATCGAAAGATCTTTCTGTCAGGTGCTCCAACTGCGGCGAGCCTCATCCTGCTGTAACACCTTCACCATAGGCTATTGAGGTTACTGAAAAACTGGACAGACCGGAAGTTTGAGGCCCAGCATCTGTTCCAAGGTGTCGATGAATATGAGAGATCTGTGACTTGTGACCTGGGAGAGACGGAGCTAGGGATATTCATAATCGCACATAACATAGATGTATACCTAGTATCGAAGACACACGTTATCAGAGAATTACACCTAAAAAATCAACAGATTGAAAATCTACAACAAGATTCACCCAGATAGTCAAACAGAAGTTGAGAGTGCAACAATCATCAAATAGTCAACCAAGCACTATTTTTTTTTATACTCCAACTACCACGAAGGCCTAAGGCCTAAGCACCCATTGGGTACCGTGGGGCTATAGGGCTATGAAAAGTAGCATCTCCGAGAAGCGAAGGTACACTGGTATCTATTTATTCCATGAACCAAAATCTAATTGTTGAAGTGTCTAGTTCCCCGCAAAGACATAACTTGAAGAGTTCTGTCTAAAAAACCTTTTTTAGAAAAGCCGGAGGGAGGTTCAGAATCGAGTGAGATGCAAAAGATACTGACTAGTGCTCAAGACTCACAGCTACCAAAGATAAAGAATTGCGTAGTGCGACTAGTGACCCAGGATGTGATTATCACTCCTCAGGAAAGACCCACTTGACGACCAACATATGATAATTACATTCCTGCCCTTATAAGTTTCTTTATCATATGGAAAGTATCTTCCAGCTTTCTTGAAGTCTGAGAAAATTCGATATGGATTCTGATCACTGAGCTCGGCGAAACAATGATTGAGAATCGAACCTAATCATGTTCAAAGGATTTACTGACCGAGAATAATTCAGGTAAGAACTAGAGGGAAATATCAATGTGAAAGTATGTCTCAGAACTTAAGAACAACTAGAATTTGAAGCAAATAAATTTATCCAAATTATAAAATATGCTGCATCCAGCAGCACCAACCCCATCTTTCATATCACCAGAGGAACTGAATATCCGGCCCTAGTTAGGGCCTCAGTAGCTGAAAAACGGAGACTAAATGGTGGCTCTCTATAGATATAGTAGATAAAAGTATTATTAGTAACATTACTAGAAAAGTCAGGTGAGAAATACAAAAAAATAACAATAGCACAACTAACTCCTTTTTAGTTAGTTAACCGCAGATAGAGGCTATGGATATGTTCTTTGGAAGGCAACAAGGCAATTGACGAAAATTAATAAAAGAACTTGCTAATACTAATTTACCCACGAGTTCAAAGCGCGCACGCAACGAGGAAAGCGGCACCGCGCCCCCTATCTTCCTCCTCTCTGACGCCCATAAACATTCATTTTCTTCAAAGCCAGGTTGTTGCAACAATTGCGTGATACATAGGGAGCGAGGGAGCGTTTGATTATAAAGGGTTGTCCAATAGGGACGCAGATAAGTGAACGTCAATTTGACATAGACGTCATCTTTGTTTTCTGTCACCGACATGTCATTTTGTTAGTTGAATGTTTACCATTGATCGCTATGGAGTCGTATTCGATTGAAGACCGCATTAAAGTTATTCAAGAGCACTACAAAAATGGTGCAAAAATAAAAAACACGTTTGGCGCGCTTCGTGAACATTTCGGTCGCAACAACCGCCCAAACGAGACAACCATCGGTCGTCTGGTGCGTAAATTCGAGGCAATAGGTTCTGTGGCAAATCTGCCAGGCTCTGGCCGGCCAAGGAGCGTTCGCACACCGGAAAATATTGCTGTTGTGAAGGAGAGTGTGAGAGACGATCCGAAACAATCAACAACGCGTCGATCCCAAGAATTGGGCATTTCGAGAACCAGTTTGCTCCGCATTCTCCACAAGGATTTGAATCTACACGCCTACAAGATCCAATTGACGCAAGAGCTGCGTCGGGCCGACCATTTTTCGCGCCGAACGTTCTCAGATTGGCTCCTTGAACACCGCCAAATTGATGCCAATTTTTCATCAAAAATCATGTTCAGCGACGAAGCGCATTTCACTTTGAATGGGACGGTAAACAAGCAAAACTGCCGCATCTGGACGAACGAAAATCCCCGTGATTATCAAGAGCAGCCGATGCATCCTCAAAAAGTGACTGTGTGGTGTGCATTGTGGTCAAAAGGCATCATCGGACCTTACTTTTTCGAAAATGCGGCCGGGGAGGCCGTTACCGTCAATTCTGAGCGATATCTCGTGATGATAGAGGACTATTTTTTGCCGAAACTTGAAGGAATGGATATGGACGATGTTTATTTCCAACAAGACGGTGCAACATGCCACACAACCAAAGTCAATATCAATCGATTGCAGTCCTTCTTCGGTGATTTTTTTTTTTATACTCCAGCTTCCACGAAGGCCTAAGGCCTAAGCACCCATTGGGTATCGTGGGGCTATGGGGGATACATGGGAAAGGGGGGACGCCACACGGACTCTGGCGAGGGAACACGTGTGCATGCAACATGCACACATTCTGGCTCCGCCTACGAGAACCGCCGGGTGGTACCTCCGCGTTCGACAGTCAGAGACCATCTACCACCTACGGACAATCACAACATCCATGGCCAAGAGAAACATTTCTCCTGGGACGGGACTCGAACCCGCACAGCGCACGGCGGCTGATCAGGATACCGAAGAGTCTACTACTGCGGCCACCGCTGCTGCCTAAAACAAACACACAACATCCATGGCGAAGGCGAGATTCGAACTCGCGGCCCGGCCGGCCGGCTGATCAGTAGCACGACACTCTGACCCACGCGGCCAACCGAGGCCCCATGATCGCGTGATTTCGCGCAGAGGAAATGTACCATGGCCACCAAGATCGTGCGATTTGACTACCTTGGACTTCTTTTTATGGGGATATTTGAAAAGCAAAGTCTACGTCAACAAACCTGCCACCCTCCAAGAACTCAAAAACAACATCATTGCCGAGATAAATGCCATAGAACCGACCATGTTGCAAAATATCATTGAAAATTTCGACCATCGCGTGGACGTTTGTAAATCCAGTCGTGGTGAACATTTGAGCGATATTATTTTTCATACATAAATGGTATAAACGAACCTTCAAAATAAAGTACCCAACAATATCAATCTTTCTTGTTTTAATATGCGCTTACTTTCCTGCGTCCGTTTTGGATACCCCCATATAATCACGTTTCAGTCTCGTCGAGTAATGCAACAACGTAGTACTGACGCTGTGCAATAGTAAACGATAGGTTGTACACAACTACATAAATTGTACGCAATCTGTATGTCAACTAAATGTACATTTTCATTGTAACAACTTAAGTTAGGGCTTTTAACAACAGGTAATGTGATGTACGTAGGTTCAAAAATTACCATCCTTTACATGGTAACAAGCAAATAACGTAATAGCATAGTTATGTTTAAGGTTTTTGAGACATGGTTCACCTCAAATACTGCTTGAACAAAGCTATTGTTTCGCATAAGAGATTGATGAGGTGACTCAGAAAATGCGCTCCAGCCCGCCGCGAGCCTGAACCTTCTATAATTTAGCCGGCGCAGAGGTAGAGGCATTTAATGTACTGTGGGCTATCAGTTGTGACACATCTAGATCCATCCATCCGGGAGCAGAGGCACAATGATAGAGTTACTTTACAGTGACAAATAGATAGATTGACTGCACAGATATTTGGGCGTAAAATACGGCAAAACCCGAGACTTTCAAAAACCAAGAAATCCCAATTTCAATATTATTCAATCCGATCCGGATGTTGTCTGTTTCAATTAGTTTGCACACTCTAACCTTACGTTACGGCCTGATTGTCTCATCCGAATATCTATATAGGTCACCAGCAACCCCTTTGGTTGGTTGAGAACAAGCATAGTATCTACAGGGTGACGGGAAAATAGATGCGGAGCCGGTGGGGGGAGATAGTACAAGCCAATCTGAGTCGATTTTACTGTAGGAACTACTGTCCGAAAATTAGCCGTTTTCGAATTATACTAATTTTTAAGATTTGATAAAATTAACGTCCTTTATACATTAACCAAGTCATAAAACTTGAATATTAGGTGTTTCATTTGATTAGTAGTAAGTTAAGCATTAACACATTTTTTACCATTTGGATCTTATGCTAGACATCTGCCAAATTACACAAATTTTTTCTTCAACATTAATGATCAAAAAATGCAAATTAATAGAGTGCCCAACATAAAATACCTTGGAGTGGTCTTGGATCCTCACTTACGATGGGACCGCCATGTCAATTATATTTTAAAGAAAATTAGATTTGTATCCTACAAAATTAAATACCTTGGGAATATATTGACAGAAAAATATCTTCGAACATTATTCCATGCACTGATGACATATGGTATATTAGCATGGGGATCTGCATCTTCCTCACATATCCATAATTTAGATGTTTTTTAAAAAGTATTCTAAAAATGATATTTAAAAAACCGAAACTTTATCCCACTGACAAATTATACGCAGATGTTCGGATGTATGTTATGATATAAGACAGCTTTATTTCTTACACAGTATCACTGACTACCATAAATTTGTAAACACCGACCAAAAAATTAAACATAATCATTATACAAGGTACAAAATTCGTGGCACAGAAGTTCCTCAGCCGCATAAATCTATAATGCAGAGGTCATATCTCTATTTAGCGCCAAAATTTTATGAAATTATACTTAAAGACTTAAAAGATTTACGTTTCGGAAATTGTTTCAAAAGAAATTTAAAAAGGTGGCTACATTCTATATCTAGGACTGAAATTCATAAACTCATAAATACGAACATCAAGGAAATACATAATCTACTGTAGCTAATTTTGTCCTTTTTTGTCATTTGCATTCTACAGTTGCAAGTTAAAATTATTGGTCCATGTACAGGCGATGGCTTCTATTGGGCCTGTTTTGATTTTATATTTATTTACTCATATTGTTTGTTATCTTTGTACATTGAGTGAATAAATATTATTATTATTATTATTATTATTATTATTTGTTTTTGTTTTACCATAAAAATATTATAAAATACGAAAATTGATACTCAAATGTACATTATTAACGTTATCTTATGCAGTAAGCTTCAAAATAGTTCAATTTTTGTTAAAAAAAATCTTCGTTCATCTCAAAAAATCAATTTACTAGAAACAATCACCTATACGTTTTTCGTGCAAACCAATTTTTAAATATCTACATTTCATTACCTTTCAAATGAGGTTCATAGTAACAAACCGGTTTAGAAATGACAAAGATACGAGTGAAAGAAACAGGTAGAGCCGCGAACATCGCACTTTGCCACCGGAATAGTATGATAAGTAAGACTAGTCGCCCCCCCCTCAATCGCTTGCTTCAATCTGCTCTTGCGATTTGTTGCGTTCGGATGTGTTTGTTTGTTCGCTGTTTTGATACTTCTAACGACTTGGCTCTTGTTGGACTTCCGTGTGTGATTCTTTTCCTGACGACCTAGACTGTACCCTGTTTTCTGTGATTCCTTACGACTTGGCTGCTGTGTGACTTGATTGTTCGTTGATCTACATATCGATGAACAATGGCTGATGAACAAAGGAGGCGGCCATTCAGTTTCGAAGAATATGCCGATATCATTTTCTACTATGGAGATGCCAGAGGCAATGCTGAAGATGCTCGTCGTGAGTATGGGGAAATGTTTCCTAATCATCGCCTACCTGACGCCCGCGTATTTAGGCAAACATTCCGTCGGGTTCGAGAGCGCGGTACCGTCGTAAGGTGAGTTTGCATCATTGATAATTATTAAATTATCATAATCAGTCATTCAGTAAGGCCTACGAAGAGCCTTGTAGGTCTGTGGGCTGAACTGATGGTACCGTAACATAGTTGTTTTGATACAGTTGATTGAACTTCTTAATTAAGAGTTTGTTCATTTAATTTTAACGCGAGCATCTACACGGCTCTGAAGATGGAAACATCCACACGTTGTGTATCGTTTTTTCTAAATAATATTTTGCCAACTCTAGCTCATAGTCTTACCGCTATGTTTATTAGGTAACAATTTCCTCCAAAAAACTGTTGTTACTTGTTTTTTCATTTTATTTCAGGTGATGCAGGTAGACCTTGACATGATGTGGAAGAAGAAGAAGAAATATTAAATATTTTCCAACGAGACCCTACTCTCTCTACTCGCGCTGTTGCTCGACGGGTTGGATTTTCCCAATGGCAAGTGTAGTATGTTTTGCATGTAAACATATTCCACTCTTACTACTACACACCTGTGCACGTCATAGAGGAAGGAGATCCCATCAGGCGCATGCAATTTTGTCGTTTAGTTTTAAACGCTGATGTTGAAGACAACAATTATTTAAGAAACAATTTGATAAAGACGTGATAACAAACTACCATAGCGCTCACTATTGGCGTGAACGTGCAGTGGGAAATCCTCATATGAAGAGACAAAAAGGATCTCAAAATTCTCAAAGGCGATTTTGTCTGGATGTGTGCATTATAAATAACTGTTTGGTAGGACCACATTTCCTACCCGACAACTTAAATGGAGAAGCCTACGAAAATTTCTTAATATATGAATTACTTAAAGACGTGCTGCACAAGACACAGAATAATTTTTCAGCATGTCGGGTGCCCAGCACATTTCAGACTAAGTGTTAGAAATTGGTTAAATGAGCAGTTTCCGAATCGATGGATCGGTAGAGGCGGACCAATCCCATGGCCAACATGCAGTCCCGATCTCACACCTATGGACTTTTTTGTGTGAGGTCGCATGAAAACTTTAGTATACTCTGATCAAAATCCTGTACCCACAATAGAAGACCTCAGAATCAGGATAATAGATGCAGCACAAGAAGTTCAAGCCTCTCTTAGGATTTCGGCGGTAGTAAAATGTATTACAAGAATAGAAAAATGTAGTTTCATACAAATTATCTTGAATCTAGGTATCATTTTGTAAAAGTAGTATTTTTATTGCTTTTTCCTTCCTTCTCTTATAATAGTCATATTTTTGCCAATTCTTAATCGATTTGTGATTTTTATACCTCAACTGAAAGGTAATGAAACGCAGATGTTTTCTAATTGTTTTGTACGAAAAATTTGTATGCGACTTTTTCTAGTAAACTGAAGCTTTTGAGATGAACGAATTTTTTTTTACCAAAAATCGAACTATTTTGAAGGTTACTGCATGGGATAACGTCAATAATATACATTTGAGTATCAATTTTCGTATTTTAGAATATTTTTATTGTAAAGCCAAAAAAAATCAAATGAGACACCCAATTTTCATGTTTTATGACTAGGTTAACGTATAAAGGATGTTAATTTTATAAAATCTTAAAAATTAGTATAATTCGAAAACGGCTAATTTTCGGACAGTAGTTCCTATGGTAAAATCGACTCAGATTGGCTTGTACTATCTCCCCCCACCGGCTCCGCATCTATTTCCCAGTCACCCTGTATAATTCGGTTGAGATGGCCTCAGCCTGTAAAATCCATTCAAAAACCATCTTGTAATAGTAATAGTATACGCCTTTATTACAAAAAAAATGTATACGGTACATACTGAAAGTGGGACTCAACTGGCAAAGTTTAGCAACGCTACTCTTACACTTAACCAGCTGAATCAATAAATACAGTGATGTTAAATAAAAAAAATATACAGGGTGACTTCGAAGTTGAGTCATTTATTTTAACAGTGAGTAGATCTGATCAAAAGAAATGTTTTTTTCCTTTACCATTTTTCTGGTAAAATTAAAGTAACAAAGTTATAGCCCTTTGGAAGTTTGAGTACCGCGCTGCCTATTATATGCTCGTGTTTGGCGACAACGGATATAATCCGCCTGACCGGTTCATCGCATCGGAAACAAAAAAGCGAAAGAATTTGAAACGTTTATCACGATGTTTTTCGTCAGTCGATAAATCCTGAGTGAATAGTAGTGTGTTGCGTGGCTCAAACGAAATCAAAAATGGCACATGTTTACGAAAATGCTGAACTTGTGGACATGATTCTTATTTACGGGGGGGGCAGTCTTTACAAAATGCTCCCGGATGCATCACGGATTTATGCGAATCGGTTTCCCAATCGAGTGCAACCAACCCCTCGTGCCTTTGTTAATGTAGTGCAAAGGGCTCGTGAATCAGGTGACTTAAGACCTCACAGGTGAGGGCATGTTGCTCCAAGACCGCACGATCAAATACAGGTCCGCACTGAAATACTTGTCGGGAGGATGCTTTATTAAACAAGGTAACATTTTTTTTTATTTTTTTTTTATTTTTACACACATATTTTGGTTTATCTTGTTTCTACAATCATTATCTGAAAATTAATAAATCAACTTCAAAGTCACCCTGTATATATATTTTTCGTTTCCCCAGGTTACACCCGTATCCGGATGTGTGGGCATGTGTATCTACTTTTGTAGTTTCGTATGTGCATTCATTTCGGGCCTGATGAAGCCAACCAGCAGAAATACGTATCGCTCGGGTTACCTATCCTATTTTCTGCTCGAATCCACTTTCCTCCTTTTTGCGGATTTTGCCCATTATTTTCCAACTTGTTGTTATATACCTTTCTCCGCATGATCATATTCTCTATACAGGGTGACTTTGAAGTTGAGTCATTAATTTTCAGATAATGATTGTAGAAGGGAGATAAACCAAAGTATGTGTGTAAAAATAAAAAAAAATTAAAAAAAAATGTTACCTTGTTTTATAAAGTATCCTCCCGACAAGTATTTGAGTGCGGACCTGTATTTGATCGTGCGGTCTTGGAGCACCGGCATGCGCTCACCTGTGAGGTCTTAAGTCACCTGATTCACGAGCCCTTTGTACTACATTAACAAAGGCACGAGGGGTTGGTTGCACTCGATTGGGAAACCGATTCGCATAAATCCGTGATGCATCCGGCAGCATTTTGTAAAGACTGCCCCCCCGTAAATAAGAATCATGTCCACAAGTTCAGCATTTTCGTAAACATGTGCCATTTTTCATTTCGTTTCACCCTATATATACAGGGTGACTTTGAAGTTGAGTAATTAATTTTCAGATAATGATTGTAGAAGGAAGATAAACCAAAATATGTGTGTAAAAATAAAGAAAAAATTAAAAAAAATGTTTACCTTATTTTATAAAGTATCCTCCCGATAAGTATTTCAGTGCGGACCTGTATTTGATCGTGTGGTCCCCTGTGAGGTCTTAAGTCACCTGATTCACGAGCCCTTTATACTACATTAACAAAGGCACGAGGGGTTGGTTGCACTCGATTGGGAAACCGATCCGCATAAACATGTGCCATTTTTTATTTCGTTTGAGCTACGCAACAGATACCACTATTCACTGACACTGACTGTATACAAATGAATGAAATAATTGTAAAAAGCATTGTTCCAAATTCTTTCGCTTTTTGTTTCCGATGCGATGAACCGATACGGCGGATTATATCCGTTGTCGCCAAACACGACCACATAATATTATTATTGAGACAGGGCGGTACTCAAACTTCCAAAGGGCTATAACTTTGTTACTTCAATTTTACCAGGAAAATGGTAAAGGAAAAAAACACTCCTTTTGATCAGATCTACTCACTGTTAAAATAAATGGCTCAACTTCGAAGTCACCCTGTATATATATACATATACAGGGTGTCCGCAAAGTTGGGGTTTTCCTTTACACGACGTGCAGATCTTGAAAACATAAGCAATTTTTCTTAGTACCATATACACCAATGGGGAACTGAGATAAAGGGCTCTGCAACATCAAAAATATCTGAATACTGTCCTGTAGCCGCGACATCACCGACTGGTACAAGGTCACTGGCTCAACCCGACGACAGAACTGGGTCGGGGTCAGTGTGTCAGGTCAGTATGCAACCTTCAACCGACGGTTACGGTCACGCGTGTAGAGGTAATCGCGTAGACGAGAATCCCTCAACAAGTACTAGAGACGTGGCTAGAGAAGTGCAAGTATCAAAAACTATAGTGTGGTAAACGCTGCGTGAAGAGGGGCTGTATCCGTTTCACGTCCAACGTGTACAAGCCCTTCAACCTGACGATTTTCCAGCAAGAGTGCGGTTTTGTGAGTGGTTACGTTCACGCGTAATGGGGTGAATAACTTTCGCAACACTAATGTTTGGTCAGTAGAAAATCCGCACGCTGTCCGTCGGGAACATTTTCAACAAACATTTTCGGTGAATGTTTGGGCTGGCATGGTGAACGGTATGCTCATTGGACCATTTATTCTCCCAAATCGATTGGACGGGATGCAATACCTAGACTTTTTACGCAACATTTTGCCTTCCTTGTTAGAAGATGTGCCATTAAGTGTAAGACAATCAATGTGGTTTGTGCATCTGCTCGGTAGCGCATCAGCTGATTTCATTTTCTGTTGGAGCGGTATGATATCGGGCAGAGACGTACTTAGCCCTTCTCGTCAACTGGAGAGTGAGTACTTTTTGTTTTATTTTTTTTACTTGGTCGCCCTCGTTTCACTACACATTACCTTTGTTATTTCAAGGGCAGTTGTTTCTGAAAGGGAAAACCCCAACTTTGCGGACACCCTGTATATATACACACATATACACATACATATATACACACATACATATATACATATATATCATAATATGCTTAAAAAGAATATTAGCTTCTCAACGTAATAAATATAAAGTCTGATTGGATGATGAATGTGGAAAGGATAGTATCAGTCAAGCATCCTTAGTAGCATTTTGGGTAAATGACTGAT